CACTGTCTTGAGGGGACCATGCTCATCATCCCAGGCCTGTGAGCCTGGAACTGGGCAAGCCCTTGGTCTCTGTTTGGGTGAGAAAATGAACAAATGCATCCGTGTCTGTCGAAGTCGGTCAAGAACGCCTACTCCTCGTGAGATGACCTTGGTAAAAGCCAAAGCCTTCGGAAACACAGACATGTAGCACTGCTTGCAATACAGACTGAAAAAACAAACAAACAAACAAAAAAACAGAACAAAAACAATGGCAGGCTTCTCTGGGATGTCACAGGACAGCCGTGGTCACACGGATCACAGCAGCAGACATACTCTATCCAAGACACGAAATGCCGACCGGGAGCGAGGGTAGCTCGGCTGCCGTATTTGACCGGAGTCCTGTCCCACGGAGCAGTGGCTCATCCATGAGGAAAACATGGGCTTTGTCTCTCATCCGGGGTCAGAAAGAAAGGGGTTCTGCCTGAGGCCGCATCACAGACTGGCAGGATGTCTGCTGACTTAGACCAGGGGGAAATACTCTATAGACAGGATTCCGATAACCCCTTACCTTACAAAATATTCATAACAGGGAATTTAAGTAATTAGTTAAGACAGCTTATGGAGATGTTTAGAAAGGGGGAGTCAGAAATAGGGGTACCCAACTGATAGACACAGACATTGCCTCTTGAGGGTTACCATCAGGCCAGACATGGAGCTGATATCTTTCCAGCGTATTTTACTGTCACTGGATTTCAGAGGTGGGGCTGGATAAAGTGTTCAGCTGAATGCTTCTCTCAGGAAACACCCCCAGCACACAGCTTAAGATAAAAACCCGGTGCTGTCTGATCTAGGTCCTCCTAATGGCTGGTTTCTTCCCTCCCCCCAACCCTTTCTGCCTCCTGACATTCGATGACGGCGATGGGCGTTACTCCGTATTTTTATTGTAACATTGAACTGTGTTCACAGATGCCAGGTCTGATTAGTTGGCCGCTTCCTCGGCATGATGGTCTGCTTACTATTTTTGAAAAAGCAGAACTATGCATTCATGGAATTCTGTAAGATTAGGCAGCTTCGTGTGGCCCGTTTGTCAGGGGCTTGGGTGGAGCCTGGGAGCTGCAAAGCGGAGCAAAGTGGCTCCTAGAGGGGGCGACAGGATCTGGGTTCAAACGGACCTCAGCGGGGCTGGTGAATTCGAGGCCAAAAGCAACAAGAGGAAATTCAGCTATGATCAATGTTAAGTCTTGCATAAGTGAACACGGGATGGAGTTGGCTCTGCTGATGCTCTGAAAAAAAAAAGACATTGTCAAGAACAGCAGCTTACACTTTACTGACACATTCACTCGTTACAGTTACCGAGATGCCACGTCACTCGGTTTAGATTTATATGTGTCCTTTAAAGGCTGTTGGGGTAAAGGTGATTATTGCCACTTTACAGATGAGATTTAGAAAGTTTAAGAAACTTATCTAGAGCGACAACTTTTTAACTCTTATGCGATGCCGCTCCCATAATGGGATCCAATAAACGGTGTAACTGAGAAAGGGAGGGAGGGAAGGAAGGAAGGAAAAAAAGAGAGGAAGGAAGGGAAGAAGGAAACTTGAATTTCATCAAAAGAAGCCTGGAGCATAGGGGTGCTGTGTGGTCTCATTGCCAGATGCGGTGTAGTTTTCTAGACACTAGATTTTCAGATTTAAAATGTGCAAACTCACGCATGTGCAGAGAGAAAATACTCATGAGAGAGCTGGGGCAGCTGAAGGCACCAGGTGGCTGGAGAAAGCTCGAGAAGGTTCCGCAGGAGAGGATGGAGACTGGCCGTCCACCGTTCTGGAAGGATGCAAATTCAAGCAAAGCCGGCTTCATGTCACTACAGGGAAGAATTCACAGACGTGAATGTTCAGAAATGACCCCGGTGGCACCTGACTCTGCTCCCCCGGAATATTTATGTTATCATCATGCCACTGGCATCAAAGGGAAGAGACGAGAACTCGGGAGAAGTCGGGGAGGTCATCGCTACTCTGGGGAAGCAGAATACCCAAGAAGGGCAGGAGGACTGGCTAGTGAGAAACAGCAGTGGGATTTCAAATCAAACTGTGACCATCTTCGTCACCCAGGAAAGAAAGAAACCACGAGGACCCCTCTTGAGATGTCATTTTCTCCCTGTTTTCTTAGAGAGGGAAATAGCTTCCTGGTCCAACCAGAAAAACCAAATGCCTGCATTTATAACTCGCCTATTTTAGTTACATTAGAATCAGGATTCTTTTTTTTTTTTTTTGGTAAGTAAAGGTGGAGAACTTATGGAAAGAAACCTGACTCTAACCATAAACTGAACAGATGGGATAGTGGGAGTAAAAATAAATTAAAACAATATTGCAAAGAACTCTCAACTTTCACATTAAAATATATATGATGATGTTTTTCAACTTTTCACATTCAGCCTATCAGTGTATCGAGTGACAAAATGAAAAATCCATTTCAGCTGTGGCTATTTCAAACGTTTACCTAAAATGATTTGGACTTCGCCGCCTAAAAGTCCAGATGAACGTATTAAACTGCTTATTGTATTTTTTTCTTTTTTTATGAATTAAAACTTTATATTATGTTATAGGCAGGACAGGGTTATATTTGGTGGCGTTTCGTGTAGAAAATCGAAGTGAACAGCGGTCTAATTAGAACAGTAAATAGTATGGGTTTAATTAGCCCTTATTCCCGATGACAGATTTGATCAGCTGCCAGGCTCTGATCCTTTCCTTTCACTCGACTGTTTCTGAAATATTGCCTCTCGTCGGGCGGCTAACGGTGCTCCAAATAGGTAGCTTGGCAAGAAGCCATGAAACCCACTGACCGGTGAGACTCGGGTGAAAATTATTGCTTCTAGTCTTTATTTCTTCATTTCATATTTGAAGGTCCTTTCTACAGATCCCTCTCTTAATTTAATTTTAAAAGGTTTCTTTTCTTTTTTGGTTGGATGAGGTAACTTGGCCTAAGGGCTTAAGGGCGTCAGTCACACGCTCTATGTCCAGGTTTCCTTATTATACTGCCGTGTTCCCCAACTTAGAACGTACCTATTAAATTCTGTCTCACGTGGACCTTTCTGAATGTGAACGGGATGTGGTTCTTGCTGGTTTGTTTTCTCACTTGTTTTTAACAAAAGTATTAAAGTGTTTGGTTAAAAAAAGAAGGAAAAAAACCAACTTTGCAAAAATGCCGAGAAACAGCAAAAACAAAAAACTTTCAAATCACCCAGAGTCTTCTCAACCTAAGGGCAGCCACTGCTAACATTTTAATTAACTCTTCAATGCTCACTCCTTTCTCTATGCACATCTGTGTTTACCTGTATGAAAAACGACAGAGGTTCATATTGTTCTCTAGAGATTGCCCTTTACCCGCAAAACGTTAAAAAAGAAAAGAAATTTCAAAACCATAAAAGTTCAGACGAACTAATTATAGCACCACCTGGCTTCATAAGATTTAACCTTTTGTCATATTTACTTCAGGTCATCTAAGGGGCTGGTGGAAGGAAGATGTTTAATTGGTGTTCCTTTGTGTCTTTCCCCAAAAACATTCCCTTCTCGTCCCACATCCTCCATGTTTTTTGAGACAGTTTGGAGTGTTTTTTTCTGGCCCTTATGCTTGTACTTGGACCACTGCGTTTTTGCGTGTATGTTCATAGACCTGCCCCTTGATCTATAGGTGAAGAGATAGGCAATGCTAAATGTGTATTTATTTGAATGTAATTCAAAATTACCTGTCTTTTCCTTCACGGTTTCTACCTTTGTTGACATATCTAGGACAGTCTTTCCTATATCAAGACGCTATACCTATTACGCTACAGGTTTTCTAGAATTTTGTGGTTTCGGCATTTTAAACATAGATTTCTGATAGATCTGGAATTCATTTTGGTGTATTTCGTGAAGTTATCCCTGATTTTTTTTTTTTTTAAACCATTCATCACATTGACTCGTGGTCCCCTACTACCTCCTTACACTTGGGTCTGTTTCTGGACTTTTCGTTTTTTTCAATTTAATACATCTGCCTGCTATTGCTATGCCAATTCTATACTCTTTTAATCGAGGCAATTTCCCTCTGATTTCCGTTCTTTTACAGTTTTTTTTCTTGGCTCTCATAGACATTGACTCCACCAGATGAACTTTATAATCATTTTGTTAGGTTCCAAAAAAAATCGCCTTTGGGATTTTGATTGGAGTTGCTCTAAGTTTATGGATTAATTTGGAGAGAATAAATGTTTTCAGTATTGGGTCAACCCACGTAGGCCTGAGGCATGTTTCTCCACTCGTTCGCATCGACTTTAGGGTCCCTCGTAAAGTGTCGCAGCTGTAATACGCATTTTTTCTTTTTCATATCAATATCCGTGTCTATCTCTGTATTTCTAACTTGTAACCCACCCTCGTCTCTCTTCTGTAGACTATCCCGACCTAAGTCGATGGTGCAAGCCCAGAAAACAAATGGAACCAAACCGTATTCACAGTCGACCCTCCCCTATTTTCTTGGACCCTAAAGCTTTATCGACTTTGTTTTCTCTCTCAGGAGGTTCCACAGATCCTCATGCAAAAAGATTTTCTTGGAGTTAGCACCAGTGGCACAGGCATGTCAGAATTTTGGGGGTGAGAACTTCTTAGGTGCAAGTTATAAAACGATAGTCAATATATATTCCATATTTATATTTGTTTTTATTGATACTTAGCCAATTTATTTAAATTTCGGGACGATAATATGTCAGCTTCAAAGCCGCTAGACACCACCTGGGCAGAACCTTTGTAAGGTGGGGACGTATTCACATGCCATGCCTTTCCATGTAAAACTCAATGCAGTGTTCTTTAGTCTATTATATAAAATGTATGTTCTTTTTTTTAACTCAGCCATTTCAAAGCATTTTTAGGTCACTTTGGTCTTGTGAACAGCTTAGAAGAAGAAACCTAAGGAAGCTTCAGGATCTTTCTGCCACGTTCGTCTGTCATTTATTGTGATTTTTTTTGTTTGTTTGTTTGTTTTTTTCACGTTCTAGACCTCGAGGACCTCACATTCCGATGAAGAGGAGGACAGCAACTGGGACGCCTGGGGGGCGTGGAGTGAGTGCTCGCGCAGCTGCGGGGGCGGGGCGTCGTACTCCCTGCGCAGGTGTTTGACGGCCAGGTGAGTGGGGGGCGGCACCTGCTGGGGGGCGGCCTCTGGGCCTTTCGTGCACTGGGGAGCCAGGTTGGGTCCGGGAGAACCCCCGCCTCTCGGCTTTGGAAGGTCCTGCGATGGCGAGACAACGTCTGCTCTGGCTCAGGGTTGGTTACAACCTAGAGTCACCGGCCTGACATAGTAAGGGTCCCATCCTCGTGGGGAACCTTGGCCGGGTCGCCCAGACCACGCCTCAGATACGTTTGTGTTGAATGACACTTGTTAACGGTAAGATCAGCTTTGTAGCATAAGTTTGTAATAAGCCCGCACTCAGCTTTGTCTGTGTTGGGACAGGAAGTGAGGCTTTTGTGCCTGGAGCACAAGTGACAGGAGAGGAAGCAGAATGGGCCGGTGATGTAGAAGCAGCCGGATTTGTAGCCCAGGGTAAAGAAGCCGATTCTCGGACTTGCGAATTTCAAATACTAGTAAAATTTCCAGAAAGCATATTTGGAAATGACATAGATTGTCAATTTTTTTTATTTGGTCGGTAAGGACAGAAAGAAAAACAGACAAAACCCAACTATATTTTAAGTCTCCATTCCTGAAGTAGGACTTACCTTTTTCATTTCTTTGGTTTTCTTTCTTTCTTTTTCTTTCTTTCTTTTTTTAGAACTCAGCGCAGTGTTCTTTAGCATATTATATAAAATCTGAAATTTTCATTGAGGCGTCAGCATTTCCCAACTTGCCCACTCCCTGAGCTCATCTAATTTGAAAATAATAATAATAATAATAATCCGAGGCTAAAAAACATCCTAAACCAAATATTTTTTAATTATTAAATGAGGATAGTATGTCCTGTGGTATTTATAGTAAGATAAGTACGCGGTGATCTATGTTCTCTTTCTGGCTTGGTTCCTGGCATAGGGCCAGGCCTGTGGCACCACCCAATCATTCCATGTCTCTGAGAAGAAACAGGGACAGTATCATCATTGCGCTGCATAAAAATCAAATTAGATTCATTTAAATTAAGGGCGGCAGATTTGTTAATAATTCACTCATTCCCTCTTCCCGCCTTTTAAGCACCCCCAAACCTTATACGCCCACTCCGTGTTAAGGACTTTCACTGTGATTTTGGAAGGACTCTGCCATTATTAAGAAGGAAACCTGCTTCCCTTGGAAAGCTTATCAGGTCTCTTTATCCTCAAACGGCCTTACAGACTCATTAAATCTTCATAAATATTGAGTTCTTGTGGTCGATTTTTCTTGGAAGAGGAATGTGGAGGTGGTAACATCTAAAACCAAACAAAAACCTATCCCAGGGTTTTAGAAAGCTTTTCCGTGCCTTTTCTTTCTTTCTTTCTTTCTTTCTTTCTTTCTTTCTTTCTTTCTTTCTTTCTTTCTTTCTTTCTGTCTGTCTGTCTGTCTGTCTGTCTGTCTTTCTTTCTTTCTCTCTCTCTCTCTCTCTCTCTCTCTCTCTCTCTCTCTCTCTCTCTCTTTTTTCTTTCTTTCCTTTTTTTTCTTTCTCTCTCTCTCTTTCTTTTTCCTTCCTTCCTTCCTTCCTTCCTTCCTTCCTTCCTTCCTTCCTTCCTTCCTTCCTTCTTTCTTTCCTTCTTTCTTTCTTTCCTTCCTTCCTTCTTGCTTTCTTTTATCCGCATGCTCCTTTAAATTCACGATTTAGGGAATGGGATAAATGTAGTTATTTTGCTCATTTATTTAACGTTATTTCAGAGTTTGATTACATTTAAATACATACTCAGTTCTTTTGTTCTGCAAACCATATGCCAGCCAGAATGCCTCTTTCTCCTGCAGAAGTTTGTAACTTGATAGTCTAGTCAAGTGCCAACCATGAGAAACACAGGTTTAAGTTAACTACTATTTTAAAAAATTAATATATTTTTATTCTTCAAAACACATGCTTCTTAGTTTTTTAGTTTTTGAGTCAGTATATCACCAAATGAATGTAATAAATTACAATGCTATAAACTCCAGGGACATTTTATTAATGTTTTTAATGTATCCTCATGCGGAATCAACATATGTTTTTTATATATTCATAAATGTGTGGCTTCAAAAATCTTCAGCTTCGGGGTGTGATGAATGTTGTAATGGATAGCAAATACATACTTGCGAAATGATGTTCTTGACTTTTCATAGACTCCCGATAAGCGTTCGCTCTTACATGCAGCGATCAGGGCGAAATTAAAAAGTTTGTATCCCTGCAGCTCACTTGCTTTGTGCCAAAAGAATTATTTCCAGAATAAGCTGGCAGGTTCCTGCTTGGGGAATTAGGGCTCCAGTCTCCTTAACTTTAAAATAACTTGCATTTCATTTTATGCCTGTTTCATAAAGCGGTCATTCATTTTTGTACTAAATTGTAACCAAAGCAGATGCCACATCAGTAGAGGCCAGGCGGTGGGCTCAGTGTGCGTCAGGTTGGACAAAGTGAAGTAGGATGTTAAAAAATGCGGACCAGATGGTCGAGTTAAAAAAAAAAACAAAAAACAAAAAACCTTACTACTGACGTGTTGAGGGGAGCAAGAGAATCTCCTTGCATCTTTAGACCCATATCCTGGTACATAGTAGGTTCACTGGAAGAAGAGGCTGAAGAAGGCGTGAGTCCGAAATGGTTCTTTACATTTTGAGAATTCACGAGATAAAACGCGATCTTGCTTTCTCACCTTGCTGCAGTCCTAGTGGGACTTCGAGTGGAGCTATTTTCTTAAGTTTTAGCTTTAGATGTTCAGGCTCCACAGTCCAGATGCGGGTTTTGCTGCCTCACAGTCAGGACGCAGCAGATGGCAGTGGGGTATAGACCACGGCCCTATGGTCTACACAGCAGGTCGAGACACAACCATAAGCTGCCTTCAGTGGATAAGTTTATTCCTTTTTCTTTTAAATTGCTTGTTACGGAAGGAGTTTTGTTTTTCATTTAAGTGGCTCAAATTAACAATTTAATTACTAAATTTAATTTCTGAAGTCCTCATATACTTTTAAAGAAAACGCCACTGCTTGTAAGTGACAGTGCTTTTTTGCATTCCTGTCTTTAGATCAACTGGAATACTCTCTTAAACAGTGACTGTAATTTGCCTGCCCCCTTGAAATCGGAATCAAAGCTTTTTCGGGTTATAGGTCAGCACGATACAAGAAGCTTTTGGTCATCGCTTCCTGAATCTATGAGCCGCTTTCCTCAGTTGGGGCTTTTCCAGAATAAGCAGAGCGCTTTAAATTCCCCTTTTCCCCTTTTCTGTAGTTTATTTTCTTTTATCCACACAGAAAAAGCTCAGTGAAGTAAGTCATGTAAGTAAGTAGTCTTGTCCACTGGCAGATGAGCCGTGGCTCATTTTCCTCTGACCGGCAAAGAGCCTTCTCCACCCTAATCCAGTCATCCCGCCAGCCCCCAAGTTTGGTCATCCTTGAATGTTTAAAATTTGACGTAGCCCCATTGGGAGTTTAATAAGTTTCAAAGTCATGTGCCTCTGACAAGTCCCAAAGATGGAAACACACAGTATGATGGAAGACTAAGACCGGGTCACCCTACTGCAATGATCTAGGGGTATGTTCTAAAAACCACGGTCGAGAGAACGCTCCTTAAAAGGGACAACTAATTGGGCACCTTGTCCATTTTTCCATTCCGAAATGTAACTGTCATTCAGGTGAGGCGTTTGGAGGCAGCTGTCATGGCTGTTCTTTTCAGTCCAAAACTTCTTTCTCCCATACTTTCTTTCTTCTGAAACTGAAGACGTGGCACGACTAGGCGTACAATGAGTTCTATATTGCTGAAATAGACTCCATCGATCATTTCATGTAGGCTCGCGTTGAAATCGTGCCAGGAAAAAATGATCTTTTCGTAACTACTTAAAAAAGTTTTTTTCTATCTTTCTAGAACTACATACTTTAAAAACAATTAAAATAGTCTCGATGGACTTTTAATTCAAGACACGATGGGTTAAGCCTGTGTTTAGCTTTTCTTGCCTCAAGTTTGCCATTGACTTGACCAAGAAAACATAAAAGGTAAAAACGTGTAACTCCCTCGGAAAGTTGGAAAAGGTACCCTTAATCAATCAGGTCTCTTTAAGGAGTTAACGTAAAATAGAGAGCAGCAAGCACTGACGGAGGAAAGTACCTGCCAGGTGGAACTGGACACATCTCAAGAGGACAGCTGCCTGGAAAATGAGTGCTGGCAGGGTCCCAGAGCAAGTGGCTGGAAGGGAGGACTCCGTAGGTGGCAGCCATCCATGGAGGATTCTCAAACCTGTGTGTGACCTCAGACCCCAAAGTATGGTATCCTAGGACAGCCACCCAATGCTAGTTAGTAGCAACCTCTACTTTGGTAAGGCCAGTGGTCGAAATAAAATACAGTAGCTTTGCCTCAAGCACACTACTTACAGGGACAGTGGTATCAGGTAAGAAGGTCATGGTGTGCCCAGCAAACGTGGGACAGTTATTTCAGTGGGGAGGAGAAATTCTCCTGTAGAAACATGAGACGCAGAGGCTTCTGCCCACAGTTCTCTTCTTTTTCATAGGAAAAAAACACATATACATGTGCACAGGCAATACATTATTTTAGTGATTCTGTGGACCCTGGGGTAAAGACCACGTGTGAGTCATATTATTACAGTAAAGCAGCTAGAGAATTCACTCTCTATTGAAAGTCACTCTGCCCTGAGACTTTGTAGTCTCCTGATCTTTGAAAGTCATTTCTTAGAATTTTAATTTCGAATCTTTGAGAGGTAATGTGCACCAATTAAAGTTTTACCAGTGCTTTGTTTCAGCTTTTTTTTTTTTTTTAATGCTGCTTGCCACTTCTATGAAGTCATTATTTTCTTTTTTTTCCCCCTTTTTCCCTGTAGGCATTGTGAAGGGCAGAATATTCGATATAGGACATGCAGCAATCATGTAAGTTCTGTAATAAAAATAAATAATCCAGTAAAATACGTTCACATGTTAACTTATTACGATGTGCATTGTAAAGCTGATGGTCTTTTGGTACCCTTTGTGAAAAATTCAAATATCTGTTTAATCGACAGCAGGTTTTGTATACCTCATACCTTCCATGTATGCTACCTTTTTAGGCCTTTTCACATTTATGATCTAATTTGGTAAGTATTTAATGATTTCTGAATTAATAGAAACAATACATTCTGCCTGTGAATGCCTTCAAAGTTCAAAGTGCTTTTTATATACAGTGTCTCACGCTACCCTCGCACTGTCTCTGAGAGGTCACCAGGTGTGACCTCATGAGGGGACCAGAGCTGAGGGAGGGGCAATTATTTTCCAAAAGCCACGTGGGGAGAGTGCAGACTCGAACTGGTCGCGTGATGTTTCTTCTCCCAACCACCTGCCCTGCCCACTGCAAAATGTGTTGAGAAGAACTAGAGGTGACTCAAGAAATAACACACAAGGAAGGGCTCATTAACCTTACTCTTTAAACATGTTTTAATTGAGGGAACATTGATTAATACCGTGATAGAAGTGTCGGATGTGCAGTTCTATAATACATCATCTGTATAGGCATTTTGCGTTCACCACCCAAACCTTCCGCCTCCAAGTAATTTGTTCCCTTTACCCATTTGACCCTCCCCAGACTCCGTCCCCTCTGCTGACCACCAGTCTGCTCTCCATCTGTGTGTTTGTTTCGTCTGTTCTTTGCTCTGTTTTGTTTTCTATCCCACGTGTAAGTGGAATCATGTGTATTTGTCTTTCTCTGTCTGACTTATTTCACTTAGCATAATACTTGCAAGGTCCATTTGTATTGCCATAAATGGCGATATTTCATCTTTTTTATGGCTGAGTAATATTCCAGTATATCTGTATACCACCTCTTCTTTATCCATTCGTCTGTTGATAGACAATTAGGTTGTTTCCCTCTCTTGGCTATTGTAAATAATGCTGTAATGAACATAGGGGTGTATAAATCTTTTCAAATTAGTGTTTTGTATTCTTTGGATAAATACCCAGAATTGAGATAGCTGGATTGAGACGGTAGTTCTATTCTTAATTTTTTTAAGGAATCTCTATACTATATGAACTTTACTTTTATACTACAGCATTCAACACCAAAAAAATAAAATTCAGATATTTTGCTTTACAAATTCGAAATGCAGAATAAATATTAGAAAGAACCAATCCTCTTTTCCACACAAAACGTTTCTCTTTTTAGTGAAATCAAAATGACAGGAAATAAAACAACATTTTGAGAATCCGGAGATCTAAGTGAGATTTAGTTTTTGTTTGTTTTTTTAATCCACTTTTCTCAGTTGGCTGTAGCTAATTTATTTTTAAAAGTTTCACTTACAGGGGCTTCATCCCTCTCTGTCCCTCCTTCAGACATGGCTCTCCGACGAGCACTCAGCCTAGACCCTGAGGCCTCAGTAAGGAATTAACCTTATCGAGGGCGTTTCAGAGCAAACGGGGAGTTTCCAGGGGAAGGCACGCGTGTCAGCAAGGAGGTCTAATACTTGAATTCACTGACTACGCATATATTCTTTTTATACCAGGGTTTGTGGGATTAAAGCAAGGCTGGAAGAGAGGGCAAAGAGATACCGCATTTTAAAATAAGCACATTAGGATTTCATCAGGGCGTTCTCTAGCACGAACACGTTCCCGGGTGAGCCCCGAGGGAGCACAGTTAGTTCTGCACAGCGGGCTCCCTGGGCTCCCCGGTGGGTTTTCAGAAGAGGTGACGCTGACGTGATCCTTGAAAGACTCTTTATGCTGCGTGTGCTGTCGGTGACTCATTTCTGACAGTTTTCTCTTAGAGGGGTTCTTTCCATCGCCACCGCTGCTACTCTGGGCAAAAGCTCCTTTTTCTCCTATCTGCCTCCGAACCTCCAGTCTGTTCTGCCCTCACAGGGTCCCTTTTCTATGTCACTCTCCTCCGTGGACCCTTCGTGCTTTTAACCCCCCTTACTTGCATTCGAGGACCTCCGGAAGTTAGATTTCTCTCTCATCCAGCTCACGCTTTCACCTTTGCTGGACGAGAGGCTGCGCCTCAGAGATGCCGAATAAATTCCCGCCGTCTTCTGTCTTTGCTTGAGCTCTTTGTTTCCCGCGTCTTGCCCTGTTCACACCGCGCCACCCTTTAAAGCCCATCCGAAGTGTCACTTTTCCGTGAGGCGTTATTGGTTGACTCTAGCGTAACAGCGGCCACCTACGATCATTTCTTCTTGCGCGAGAGATTTTGGGATTTGTTAAGCAGGAGGGTCGACGACATTGAACTCGTACTACAACTTGGACGTGGAGGTAAAATAAAATGTTCAAATGTGCTTCTACGAAAACATCGTGTTTTCTCCTGAGTTGTCTACGCGCCGGTTATCATTGGGGGGAAATGAACTAAATATCTAATCCGTATTAAAGCTCGGTCCCGTCCTATTCTGTAGATCATCTTGTAGGTAATGGTCTGTCTCTCTGGCAGAAAAATACTCAGCTTATTAGATAATCTCCCTGTCTTGGCCTCTCTCCTTAAGTTGTTCGTGAGATGCTTTATGGATCCTCATGGCTTTTGGAAGGAAAGGAGGACTTCCGTCTTCAGGACGGTCCTTGAGTGGGTGGTAGTTGTTATTTTCTGGGTCCCCTGTCCCCCTCCCCTTCTTCTCTCCTCCCCCTCTCCCCTTTTCCTTCTCCAATTTCCTTCCCTCTTCCTCCTTTTCCGTGCTTCCCGCTCCTGACTGAGTCAAGACTTCCTGATCTAGGATCCTTTCTTATTCCATCTTTTCCCTCCCCCTTATTAACTCCATTTCATCCGTTTCTAACTTAATTCTTGAATAACCGTTTTATTTCCTTCATGGCAAAGTCCTACTGCACGTCTGCAAACACTCATAACAACCCACCGTTTCAGGGCATTCCCTGCATGCGGATGCTCCCTCTCCGATGAGATGTCACGTGGTGGATGATATTCCTCTTTCTGTGTTCTCCACAGCATGGCGAGCTAGGCACATCCCACGAAGTATACTTAACAAAGAAGCGTCGTCTTGAATTTCAGGGATAACCGAGAAATGTTTCTTAGGGAAAGGAAAGCAGAAGAATGTTTGGCGTTCTAGCTTCCCTAAACGTCAATTAAACTGTTTAAGACACAGGAATCCCTAGACTGGGCCCGGGCATGGGACCCAGCCAAGCCAGCCCAGCAGGCTCAGTGTTGACATTGGAAGGGTGCCAACCCAACCCGTGTGTTTACTGTAAGTCGTCCGAGCCCCCCAGGATTGCCAGAAAGCCGTGTCACACAAGGGAATGCTCGTTGCTTTGGGAATTGGCCTTGGCTCTGTCACATTCCAGCTGCGTGTCGTTGGGCTAGTGATTACAGACTTTCGACATTACAGTTTTCTCCATTTGTAAAAACGAGGGAAATGATGACTCTGACCTACCTAGCTCAAAGGCTGCTAGAGAACAAAGCACATGAGTGTGCCTCCCTGCAAAGCGTTGATCTGACGTGGGCCAGGTGCTTGCCTCCGACCGCCAGCTGTAGCCACCCCTTCAGCAAGGACTGAGTTTGGTGGGCATCCTAGGCTGTCTTCTGCTCATCAGCCCTTGGTAATTTCGTGCATGTTCATTGTTTAAGGGAAGGGAAGGCAGTCAGCTCTTTCAGTCCCTAGAGCAGGTGGGCTTAAAGTGAGAGAGGTCGTTTTCACCCTGTGCTCTTATACCCATTGGCTTGGGGTTCAGCGTCAGATATAGAGAAAACTGGCCATGGGTGAGGGATGAGGAGGCGCTATAATTTTATCGGTGGATGATCATCCCTATGGCTCGATGGAAGACACAGTCTTCATTCCGGGAGAGAAAAGTCATCCAGTTTCAGCCTTTTTCAATGTGACTCTTCAATAGCTGTGACCTAGGTGAAGGTTTAATGTTGCTAAAAACAACAAAAATCTGGATGCATTGTAGGGATTTAGAATGATTCACAGCAAACTAATATAATTAATCCCAGAAGAGAGTTTATTGATTCTATTTTACTTATCCTCTACCTACTTCTCAAAAGGATTTCAGGTGGTTTTTAAAGACATAAACACAGGAGAATACAAAAGTCAAGTAGTCAAAAAGGGAGAAATAGAAGAAATTATCTTTTTAAATTCTGGCTGATGACATTAATAATTATTTACGGAAAAAATAAAGTTAGACTTCTGTCTGATGCCATACATCAAAATAAATTCCAGATGTAACGAAGAGTTAAATATCGTTGCTAATACGAAATGTAGTCGATAGTGTTGTAATAACTATGTATGCGGTGCCAGATGGATAGTAGGCGTAACGAGGTCATAACTTCGTAAATTATATAAATGTCTCATCCCTATGCTGTACACTTGAAACTAACATAATAATGTCTGTCAGCTGTAATTGAAAAAAATTAAATATGTATAAATGAAAAACTATGAAGGAACAAGAAAATTACTCTTAAGTATTTATCTGTTCTCAGAGCCGGAGGCAGGGAGCATGTCTAAACTCATTAATAAGGAAAGAAACCTTAAAAGGAAATATTAACAGGACTGACAACATGTAAATTTAAAACTTCTTGACTTCCCCAAGCACCCAAAACAAAACTGAATGGGGGAAAACTATTTCCAGTACAAATGACAAAGCATTGATAACTTCGGTCTGAAGTTGAACGGTTCTATCTGTTAAAAATAATAAAAAGATAAACATTCCAATACCTAAATGAAGGACAACACAAGAATGTTTCGAAGAACTAATTCAAGAAGCAAATAAACTTGGAAAGATAAATAAAAGGAAATGCAAATCACAGCAATGGAATTCTATTTAGCATTTATGGGAAAAACATTTTAGAAAATTATAATATCCAAACTGAGAAGAGGTATTGAGAAAATAAAGCTTATGTAGCCTGATATTAATAATACCTTTCTGGAAGGCAATTTGGCAGTATTTTTTAAAACCTCCAAAAATTTTTTTTTCCAGAAATTTGTTCGTAGGAATGATCAAAGATTTGTGTATAGATTTAGGTACAAGAATCTTTACTATTTATTCTTTTACTGAATACAAACTATTTTTGAAAGTTTTTACCATGAACATTTATCATTTTTATAATAAGGAAAAATATAAAATAATATAATGCCTTTCTGTATCTGTTCTCTTTAACTGGGAATTTTGTATATGGTTAATTAATTACCATTAATTGAGACATTTGCACCCTGCGTTGACAAGTAAAGGAACATTTTCATCAGACAGCATCTTGCTTTGGAGATATCTGATTTTCCAGTAATTAAAAATATCCTCCAGTCATCAAGACTTGTACAAACACCATTTGCCGCTATTAGGAGAGTTCCCTAGGGCATTTATGTAGAATTCGTTTGCTTTTGTCGTAGACAGAGTTTGAAAAAGCTACACTATCTGTTTCCATCCGATCTCCAGATGGAAGCAGGCACTTGGTTGCCGTGAAGAGAGGTGGCCGGGGGCCTGTCAACAAGGGAGGAAAGGCAGATGAATTATACCACAAGACAACAACACAGAGAGACAGCACAAGGCCTCACAGAGCACAGCAGCTAGGGGCTGGTTAAAGTAGGGGCCAGTGACCCTTCACGTTGATACAGCTCCCAAAGGCGTGGTGATGGTGAACATCCCCAACCAAGACCGCGAGTCCCCCTGGAAAAGTTAAAAGCCTTCCGCTTCCCCACGTTTCAAAAAGGAGACCGTGTTTTGCATTTGAAAATGTATATCCAGGATGGTCAGAATAGAGAGACATTTGACATCTATATGGCGGAAGCTTGAATAATTTGGAAAAAGAAATGCTAGAGTGCGGGAGTGATCAGAATAAATAAAGCGATCCCCTGGATGGCTCATTATTGTGGAGGTTTTGGTAGAATTCACAGCTAGAGATTCAGTTTTGAATTAACAACAACAACAAAAAAGTGAAGGCTTCGAGGTGACTCCCAGGAGAGAGGCAAGGGGTGTCTGGTCCCACGGGACGGTGGTGAATGGAGCAGCTTCCTACGTCCCGTCTCAGTGGGTGACGTGCGTGTGGCCTTCCTCTCTGCCTCCAGGACTGCTCGCCGGACGCAGAGGACTTCAGGGCCCAGCAGTGCTCAGCCTACAACGATGTCCAGTATCAGGGCCGCTACTACGAGTGGCTCCCGCGGCATAACGACCCCACCGCCCCCTGTGCCCTCAAGTGTCAGGCGCGGGGACAGAACGTGGTCGTGGAGCTGGCACCCAAGGTCCTGGACGGGACTCGCTGCAACACGGACTCCCTGGACATGTGTATCAGTGGCATTTGTCAGGTGAGTCACACACCCGCGTCCCCTTCCCTTGCTTCAGGGATGTGCCCAGCTCTGGGTGGAGAGAATCTTCTCCTCCTTTACTTTAGCTCATGTGGATGAAATAATTGTCTTCGATAATTTTAATGCAAAACAATATTTTAGGGACTGTGACGTTGGTTCGCTTATTTAAAACGGTGTAATTTTTGCCCATGGAGAAATCAAAAGGTTGCAATATATTGATGACCTCTTAGGATTCTGCTAGGTCAGTGGTTCTCCCACTTGAAAGTGCATCGGAATCACCTCAAAGGACCTGTCACAACACAGCATGCCTTGCCCTCACGCCTGAGGTTCGGGTCCCGGGGGTCTGAGGCAGGGCCTGAGAACTTGCATTTCTGACACGTTTCCAGGAGATGCTGGTGCTGCTGGTTCAAGGACCACAGCTTGGAGAGCCACTGGTTTGGCAGGGTATTAGTGGTAGGTTTTCTGAGCCTTTTAATTCTTTGTTTTGCTAAGATTAATTCATTGTTTTGGGGTTTCAGGGGCAATGACTTATTTGCTGAAAAATTAGCATGAGTGCATTCCAGCAGATTTTTCAGAGTGACAGAGGCCTAAACCCCCCAGGGCTCGTGACGGCTGTCAGGGTTCAGGGCCATTTGATGGGTTGCTGAGATAGCATGGGGCTGGCAGAGAAAGAGTAGGATTCTACCCCTATTCCTCTGATTTTTTGGGGGAAAAAAAAAAACCATTTTAAATAAGGAATGGCTAAGTATTCCATCAACCCTATTATGCGTGCATCCAAAACATTAGTAACAACAGCAAATGAACACCCTAACCACCTCCTAAGCGTCAGGCGTGACCAGGCAGGCGCGTCAGACCTCACGGGCTCGGGGATGAGCCGCAGGCTCGGTCCTCCCACGAGCTTCCCCTTCCCGCCTCCCTTCATCCAGAAAACGAATTCCGGTGGCTCACCACAAAACTCTGGAGTCTTCCTCGATTCTTTAGTTTCAACCCACATACCTAATCCATCGCGGGCCCTGTCAAGTCTAGCTCCAGAGTCCCTCTCAAATCCACCATTGATTTCTGTCACCACTGACCTCTTTCTCGGTCCCCTCCGACCTAAACTACGTTCGCAGCCTCCTGGTCTCCCAGCTTCAAGTCATCCCTCTCAGGTCCATTTCTCATACAGCAGCCGAAGTGATTGTCCTTCTTTCTTTATTTTTTTGTTCCTGGCTGGGAAATACCATCTTTATTATTATTTTTTTTTATTAATTTATTTGGAACTCTAGCGGATACCCCCTGTTATATGCGTTTCAGGTGTCCAGCATAGTGATGAGGCATTCCATCTTCATTATTATTTTTTTTATTAATTTATTTTGAACTCTAGCTGATACCCCATGTCATACTCTAGCTGATACCCCATGCGTTTCAGGTGTCCAGCATAGTGATGAGGCATTTCTATACCTTACAAAGTCGTCGTGACGGGTCCAGCAGCCCTCTGTCGCTGCACCTAGTTATCATGATGTTATTGACTCTGCTCTCCGAGGTCCAAAGTGATTGTCTAAAAACATAAGTCAGCGTCGGTCACTCCTCCCGCCAGAGTCCTTCGATGGCTTGCCACTGCGTTGCTGATGAAGCCAGGAGGAACTCTCTCTCACTTACCTTTCCCGTTCTCTTCCTGACCTGTTCTTAACACAGACGTAATTCCCCAGGTTTATAGCAAAATTACGTGGAAGGTACAAGGATTCCCCATGTCTCCCCCGCCCCGTTCAGACACACAGCACCCCCATTACCAGAATTCTTCATCGACACATCATTATTGCCCAGATTGTACATAGACACATCAGAGTTTTCGTTTGTCAACAGAAGCCAGAAATCTGTATTTTAGTGCAAAGTGTCTGATTCGAAACAACGCCTTCCTGTTCATGACCCCATTTCATCTGTTAATTGTTAGACTTTAATCCTGTGTAACCCGGGCTGGGTGTTCCTGCAAGAACCAGCAGCCCCCAAATCTCGCTGGTTCCAAAGATTATTTCTCGCTAATGCTCCTTGTCTATCTTAGGTCAGCAGAGGTCTCTGCTCTTTGAATATCTGAGAGACCCAGGCCGAAGGAGGCTTTATTCAAACACATTTTTCTTTTTGTTTTACATAATAACTATAGCAGTGAGAAGAGGGACAGGTGACTCATGTGCTGACCCCTAAAGCTTCTTATAGAAGTGACACAGACACTTACATCTCATTGGCCAAAGACAATGACCGCACTTAATCTCTAATGGGGTGGAGAAATTCAGTCCTCCCACAGGCCAGAATGAGAAGCTAAATGTTTATGAATAGCCCTATGCCTACCACAGCACCGTATAGTCTGATATTTAAGGCAGGAATGTTAGAATTTTTTTCTAAGGTAGAATCCGATTTTCAGAAATTTTAAACAGAAGTCGACTCGAAACATTGTTTGGTTCTCGAAGGATCAAATTAGACTTATCTAGAAAATTCATGTATTGCTCAATTTGTTTAAATAAGCCACTTATTTAAACACTATCTTCTTTTAGCTGATTAGGAGATCATATGCAGGAACTCTGAAATGACCCTTAGCTGAAGCGATGATTTATATATGAGCATTTATTCCGAAAAGCACTGCTCGTGTATTTAAAAAATGTGTTTATGTTAGCTACAATCTTGTGTAACTTGCCTCAGAATAAGATATACAAATCTTATTTTATTAACTTATTCTCTGCAGTGCCTGGCTGTATAGAACTGCGTTATTAAATAAATGTTAATAAATTTTATCGATGTATTTATCTGTTAGTGGTTTTTAAATCATTATAATTAGAGATCTTGACTTCAGGAGATGCCACAGAAGTTGAAAACGCTTCAGGCCGTTTTTAAAAGTTTCTTACTATTGATTTTGATGGGTTATGAGAGCCAGAATTCAGTAGTCCCTGAATTTCAAGGGCAGTTCTGGCTGATAACCCTGTGAATCACAGGGTAACTGGAACTTCTTCTTAGTTGTTATTTTTCTGTGATGTTTTCACTTTTATTTTTTTTGGCTGTAAGATTTGGATGAACCGTAACTTTAAAAACTTATGAAACAAATCTAAGAGCTCAGGGAGGTATTCGATTGCCCAAGATCTCTCGCAAAGCCCTAGACACTCTTCAAAACAAGCCCATCCTAGCTGCTAAGCCCACACCCTTCCTGCATGGCCAGATAGAGGGTGATTCTCATTCTCATGAAATGCAGTGTGCTCGGGAACACCAATGTGTGAGGACGGAGCTTGGCCCAGAAACACCGTTTCTATAATTTCATAGTGAAATTGCTCCCCTTGGAGAAAGTTGCACGAACACAAGCTATTCATTGATTGAATCCCAACCAGGCGAGCGTGTTTCCAAAATCCATCACTCGTAAGTCGTTCCACATGTACTTGTAAATATTCCTATAATGGCCCGTGTCACTGGGTTCTTTGTCGTCCATCTGCTGACAACTGAGGTTGAGGAAGTCATAGCATAGTGTTCAGATTCAGGTGTCAGACGACCTCGGTTTTAAAACCGTTACTGACACGGTATACTGGTTGTGTAACGCTGGAAAGCGGTTTAATCTCGGTGACATTCACAGGCCTTATTTGTGAAATAGAGAGAAAAGGCCGTATCAAGCGTATCAGAAGGGCGCTGTGGAGATTAAAGTAACGTGTGTAACGTGCTTGGCTCGATGCGAGGCACGTGGCAAACATTCAATAAAAATTAACTATTACGGTTAATGCATTCTGAGTATCTTCATATAAAATCGTAAGGTCACAGAGGTCACAGAATTTAGCTACTCAGTGAACCATTTGATCCTCTCTCAGCGTTCTGTCCCACCAGACAGTCTCCTGGCCCATGGTTGAGTACTTATGGTTGGATAATTCTGACTTTTCAAACTTTCTCATATTGAACTAAATTCGGCTTAAACCTGTAGCTTTCACCATTTAGACAGAGAACAAATGTCAGCTCTTTCCTCGCGATAGCCCCGTGTGCATTCGAAAATCTCTCTAATCACGGGCTTTTCCTTCCACTACCTTGGACCTTTTCCTAACTCTCCCTAAAGCTTTCGTTTGATCAAAATTTTGGAACGAATCATCATCTATCGGTGGTTTCGGCTTCCTCTCGTTCTGCATTTCCTTCAACACCGTGGATTATAGTCTGACTCACAGAAGCACAGGGTCAGAACCCCGTGAAAAACAGAGAGATAATAAAACCGGCCCTCTTTTTTTGAGCCCTCGATCATGTGCTAATTGGTATGCTAGGAGTTTTGCACGTGTTTGCTCACTGGATTCTTACTAGACCCCATGAGAAGTATGTATGGTTATCTCTATTTTACTCCGGAGGACAACGTGTCTAGAAGTTTGAATCGTTCGGCATATCCCACAGCTGGAAAGAAGTGGTCGGCAGGTCAGGTTTTGTCAGTGGGTCATCTGCCTCCACAATCCCTTCACATAGACGTCAGGTATAGAAACACAAATAAAGGTGAATGGGTATGGGGAGGTAGAGATAAACTATCCCCTTCGTTCATATTAGCGGGCACGTTATGTAAAAGACATATTCGTCAAACAAAAGGAAAACATGAGACGTAGCCGTCGTATAAGGAAACTCACAGCCTAGCAAATTGATATGCTCACGCAAATAACTCGTAAGAATTAGTAATTCACAGGAGTCCGAACGAGCACTATAAGCGTATTCCTTCCTTACATTTTAAAAAGTTTGTGAAGACAAATATATAGATGTCATGACAGAGGTGGCGATCGACAGGACGGACATCAATAATGACGACGAGATATTAAGTTATAGAGAATATAGAGATGGAAATACGGATGTTGAGATGAGATAGGTATGTGGAGATTGAGAAAAAAAGCAGAGAAAAAGTATTTGAAGTAAAATTACGGACCAAAGGTTATACATCGACCAGAGGGGGGTGGTCGTTTGGGGAGGAAATGAGAGAAGAGGCCTAGAATAGCGGTAGGGGAGAGAGGAAACACATGACAGTATCAACAAAAATATAAATAAGAGAATAAGAGTCGGGGGTATGAATGCTGTTGTCCTGCAAAGCTTTAGAGTAATTCCTGTTTTTGAAACCGTGTTCTCATCAAGGGGTATGAGAGAGGAGCCTGCGCAACCATCTGGGCCTTGCATAGAATCCTACAAATGCTGTTGTCCTGCAAAGCTTTCGAGTAATTCCTGTTTTTGAAACCGTGTTCTCATCAGAGAGAGCCAACGCATAAACTTAAGAAGGGTAGCCCCGTAAATACGGTTCCTGAAGGAAACGGGGTCCCGCCTCCCGTTTTCCCAGCCAGTCCTGACGCCCAGCTTCTGCCCGCAGGCGGTGGGCTGTGATCGGCACCTGGGGAGTCACGCCAAGGAAGACAGCTGTGGCGTGTGCGCTGGCGACGGCTCCACCTGCAGGCTCGTGAGGGGACAGGCCAAGTCACATGTTTCTCCCGAAAAAAGTAGGTTTTCAACCCGATGCATTGTTACCAGAAAACGAAATGTGCTTCCCTCCTGTGCCCACCCCCTGCCCATCCCCCCCTTCCCCGATTGCTAAGCTTTTTAGTTGGAAAGAACTTTCGACCAGTTTTCTGAAAGTCAGATTTCTTCTAAAACCTGTATATCACATTTTAGTTCCCCTTACTTCTTCTAAGAGTACCTGTTTCTTCAAACGTTTGCCAACACAGGAAATGATTATTTTAAAATAACTGCCGGTTTTGGGGGGGTAGATCATGAAGTAATAATTTATTTTATTGGCCTCTCTTTGATTGTGAACAAGGTAGAAAATATTGTCGTGTGTTGCCCATTTATACTTTTTCATCTTTCAATCAGCTACTGACGTCATTTACTCCCTTTTGTTTGGATGTTTTCCTCACTATTGTAAGATTTTACTATATCGCTCTAACCTTTCGTCTATTTCAAATATCGTTTTCATTTTATCATTTGACTTTCAATATTGCGTTTCTAGAGTCAATAGTTTCTAAGTTTTGTATATTCAGAAATGTCCGTCTTTTCGTTTCGGTAAGATCTGCCTTTTTTAAATCTTTGAATCGGGTCAGTAAACTTTTTTTTTTTTTTTTTTTTGTAAAGGACCAGAGAGGAACTATTTTAGGGCTTTGTGGGGCATATAGTTCCTCTCAACCACTCAACACGAACGTTGCAAAAGCTCCCACAGACAGCCTGTCAACAGATGGGCGCAGCTGTGTTCCTATTAAACTTGATTTACGGAAACGGGCTGCAGGCTGAGTTTGACCTTTGGTCTGCAGTGAAAGGAGACCAGTGGTCAGCCGTTGCAAGGTCGGGTGGGATAAGGGCCGGGCAATTTCTCTTCGGCTGTGATTAGCAGGAGGGGTTGCGATGACTTTCAGGCGGAAACGGAAGCCTGACGGGATGAATGGAGGAGCGAGCAGAAGGTGAGTGAACAGAGGGAGAAGAGTTTGCCCAGGACGGAAGAAGGGTCCACACCCGCACTGGGCCAAGAGCTGGACAACCCACAGCTGGAGCCCCGCGGTGAGGAGCCGCCTGCGTTCCAGCCTGTTGGCTTTGTTTGTTTGTTTGTTTTTGGACGCTGTTCGTTAGGAGGTAGAGAGTCAGCTGCTCAGAGTGAAGGCTCTCACTCGAGACTTGAGAGCGTTCCCGCCGAGGAGAGGCAGAAAGGAACAGCGTATGGAAGACAGTGAAAAGGTGAAGTGGTGGCCGTGAGAGGCTGGGTGAGATGCGAAGCCTTCAGTCTGTGGAGGCTCCATCCGTGGACCCCATGACGGACCCGGCTTTGAGTCGATGGGGATGCATGTCACAGGAGACTCACAGGTGCGGGCTCTACGTGCCTCTTCTTTGGACAGGAAGTCCAGCTGGGCGGCTGCCGGTGTCTGTAAGGAGCCGGGCTCGTCTCGCCGTCCTTCCTCATCTTCCGAGTGTGGCTTTCATCTCCGTGGCTGCGCAGTCACTGCTGAAAAAAAACGTTCATAATCTCAAAGGGTGAGGGAGGAGGTGGTGACAAAGGCGTTCCTTTGATACTCTGCCCGTCGTCCAGGAAGGGCAGTCCCTGCCGGGGAATTTGCCTCATTGATCAGAACTGTGGCGTGTGACACCTGGCTCCTAAGTGGGTAGGGGACCAAGTGCACAGCATTGCATCCATTCTCCTACCACGGACACTGATGCTTTATAATGCCCGGTGTTCCCCTCGGGTTTAGCACATCACTGAATCCCACGGCCTCCTTACGTTACAGTTGGCCTGGTGTCAGACCCGTTTTACAGGTGAGGGAAGCAAGGACGTAGGGGAGTAGTTAAGGATCCGGGTCCGGACTGGGTTTAAATCCCAGGCCTGTCCCTTACTGGCTGTGACAGTGCAGCACGTTATTAACTACGTGTGTCTCGGTTTTCTGAATTTAAACTGGGAAGAGCGATAGCCCCACCTTTGTGGGGTTGGTGTCAGGACCGAATAAACTGGCCATACCGAGCGTAACCGTCGGTATGTGGCCCTAGGGGTGCTCAGGAAATGCTAGCTGTATTTTCGTCAGAAAGATTACTCATTTGGGTACCAAAGGGTGTCACGCCTCTTACATACATTAATTGTAAATGTGGCTATTTGTCAACGGATTTCTAAATCAACGGTCTGCTGATTTGGGTATTGCTTTTAAGTGAGCTGCTGAGAATCAAAAAAGAGTGACTCGTAGGAGGGTGCAAAGTGGGGGAAAGACTCAGGAGGGCAAGAAGAGGCAGCTGCACCATGAAGAGTCGATTCAGGGTGGCCGTGGGGTGAGCGTCGAAGGGGGTAGGGGATGGCCAGCTCCGTGCTGGGGAAGCACCGGGCATTTGCGCTGGCCTGAGAAAGTGTGGCGATGTCACCGGAAAAGACATCGTCTCGTCGGGGTCCAGAAGAGATTAGAAATTGAGATCGTTCTGGTCGAACCAGGGTAGAAGCCGAGTGAAACTCGGTCGAGGAACCAGGCTTTCTGGAGAAGTGTGCACAGGAGATGCTGACGTGGGAAAAGATGGGGCGGGATGCATTGTTGGCTGTAGGGGACGCGACCCGTTTGCACCCCGTAATTCTTCATGCTCGGTGAGGTAGTGCATGTTCTCTCTCTCTCTCTCTCTCTTACACACATGCGCGTGTGCGCACACACACACACACACACACTGATTTTCAATTTCTGGGTTATAGATCCTCTTGAAAATCGATCGAAATTTATGCATTGTCTCTCCCGGAAGATGCCCATGTACCTACAAGCCCCAAATTTGCCATTCCAATTTTCTGAGGGGGTTCTCAGATGCCTGACGCCAGTTCGGGACAGTCCAGGATAAGAGCCCCTAAAAACATGATGTTTTCGGTTAACTTCTCCGGAGAAAGGGCCGCTGGATCGCAGAGGTCCGCGAACGCCGTGGGCTCTGCAGGCGCGTCTCCGTCTGCTGTGCGCGTGTGCCTGGGCTGAGGCTGAAGGTGGCAGAGGTGCCCGCCTCGGTGACCACACGGTGTGTCTCACCCTTGGCTTTCACCGCAGCCTCTTCCTGTCTGTCACGGCTCCGAGCTGGCCCGCCGAAGCCGGTGTTGGCTGGATCGCCTGTGAGCCATATGGAAGCAGTTCCCTGTAATGCTGCTTTGAGAGACAGAAGTGTGGAAACAAAGCCACGTCTCTCCCCGAGCGCCCAGCCCTGGGCCCGCGGACTCCGTGAAGCTCCCACGCCCTCACCTTGCCAAGCCATCACTCCTGAGCTCCCCGGGACACACGCGGAGTGCGGACACGCCCGTGGGATGCTCTTGGCATGGCCCTGCTCTGGACAGGGAGCACGAGGTCGCTCACGGGCTGTGATTCCCATCACGCCGTGAGGCAGATTCAAGGTGCAAGAGCCCGGAGCCAAAACCTTCGCTGTGAGAAAAATCAGAAGCCCATCCAGATACAACACTTACATGTCCTGTCCGGAGGGAGGAGAGAGGCCGAACTAAACCCTGGCGTCAACAACTGTGGGTGCTGTGACAAGGCACGAGAAGCCACTCGGTTTTCAGAGAGAGAAAACTCTAAAAACGGCAACAAAGAAGCAGACACGTCTTGGCTTGGGATCTAGGGATCCAGTTGTCTTTCCCGGTTTGTCCCTTGTTTTGGTCCTGTCCACCTCAGGGCATACGTGCGTGAGACAAATCAGTAGCTTAGCTCAGCTCGTCTGGTCTGGGCCCTTGCACGTTTTCACCTGGTAGCAAGCGAGGACCTGTGGCACCTGCCCATAGAGTGAGGCCTAAGGCCGGCCTGGAACACGGCGTTTCACTCCGCATTCGACGTTGTGACGATAATCACGCTTTCTTACAAAGCATCTCTTCCTAACACAAATAGAATCTCGGGCGAGGTGGATGTGGGGCTGTTTCCCAGGATGATTTTTATGACGTTTTCTCTTCATACACTGTTCGCTTCTTTTTGATTGTCACCCCCTCCCCCAAATAATCTATTCCATGACAAGGAGGGCCGTATCGGCTTTCAAGGGCTTGCTCACCCTCCTGTCTTCTCATATTATCTCTTTCTGCTTCCTCATTCACCTTTCTAAGGTGAGATCCTGAGAGGGAAGACTCTTAAACCAAGCACGGCGGGTGGCAAAGGAATATTCAAACCAAAGACCCTGCTGATGTTAACGGGACTCCTCCCGCCCTCGGTTTAATGCAGCGAGAGGGATCATGGCATAGAAGGAAGAGGCCTGGGTTCTCATTCTTGGCCTTGTATTTTTTTTCTCATGTTTTTTGTGTGTGCCGTCTCTGCGCCCTCTGCATGAAGGGAAACACGAGAGACACGACACACGGACCCTGTCGAGAAGAAATGCCAGAGATTCTGTTTTTCACAGACTAGCCAGACCGACCGGGAACGTCCCGGCTTCAAACCTTTGTGAGCTGCCTTGACGCTTCGGATGAAATCCACACCCCTTTCCGTGACCGTCAAAGTCTTGCATTCTCTGGCTCCTGTCTTAGGTCACGTGCTGCCATCCTGCCCGATGTTCACTAGGCTTCGGTCACACTTTCGGGAAGATTCTAGAAGGCCAAGTGCCCTCTCCTCCTGTGGGCCTTTGCGCTGACCCGTCCCTAGGCTCGCAACACGCTTCTCCTTGCTCTCTGCTCATCTTGGGACTCGAGCGTCACCATCTCAGTGGGGCTCCCTTTGACCGATCGACCTGAAGTCAGCTTTTCCCTTTTCTCTTTCCCGCTGAACCTTTATTGCAAGAAGTACTGATTCTGTGTGTTCATCGGCCTCGTTAATCGATCTCCCCCGCTAGTCAGGCGTCGCACGAGGAGAGACCAGGTCTGTCACCGTCACGGTTTCACTCCCAGGGCTCACACCGAATGAGCACGTCATGGCAGCTCAATAAATGTCGAAGGAATGAACACAGGCTCCTCGCTGGAGACGATGCCGCTTTCCGTTAGGGTTTCAGGGGGACTCACTCCGGTGTGGCAGAGCTAAACCGGAGGCCGGAGACGGGGGTAACC